CCTCCAGCACCACTGCTTGGACCTGTGCCCATTCCTCCTGCACCCATGCCCCCACCCATTCCTGCTCCACCCCCCATGCCTACAACACCTCCACCACTACCTCCAATCATCCCGCCACCCATTCCACCAGCACCACCCATGCCTCCTCCACTGAAGCTCATCCCACCAGCAATGGCGCTCGTGCTACAGCTGGTCAGAGACAGGGTTTGCATCATGCCCATGAGCCGCAGATCCTCTCCTTCAATAAGTTTTCTGTTAGAAAAAACAAATGTTTAATAAACATTTGTTTACATTTATTTAAATATATTTTATGGCACTAGATCCATTTTTAAGTTATTATTCCTTCACCTGTATGTCGTAATCTCAATCTCCAGAGACATCTTGACATTCAAGAGGTCCTGGTACTCTCGCAGGTGCAGCGCAATTTTCTCCTTGGTGGATTTCAGCTCAAGCTGCAGGGCCTCAATCCGAGCCTGTTAGGTTAACAGAGCCATAAAATTACTGTATGAATGAATTGTTATGGTGATTATGTGTCTGCATGCATGAAAGTAAGTGCATGTGTTCACAACTGACTCTGGTGTGACCAGGTGTGCACCCTGGGACTACATTTCCTTACCTGAAGGTCTTCCAGTTCTTTTCTGTACTTTTGTTGCGTCTCTCGGATCTGGGCCTCAAGAGCTTCATTTCTGGTCCTCAGGGAATCCAAGTCACGTTCTTTGTTTTGGATCTGGAGGTATTTTTATTTGATTATAATCATTATAGTCATTTAATATCACTTGTCAATCAATCCTCATTTACTGGTTTCCACTTTTGCTACTTACATCCTTTTTGGCACCTGCTATTTCTTCTCTAATGCTTCGAACCTTGTCCACATGCCTTGATGTCTTGCTTGTTATATCTTCAAACTTGTTTTTATACCATGAATCCATCTCCTAAATTAGGGGTGAAAATTTCACATGAATTTAAATTAAAACACAGAGAACTTACCAGACAGTGCTGATGTGTGATAATTTTACCTGGAGATTTTTGGCTGCAATGTCGTCATACTGGGCTTGGATTTGTTTCAAAGCAGCTGCCAAGTCAGGTAGGGCGAATGCACTCTGAGCCGTGGCATGAGCAGCATAGATCTGTTTCATAAGCTCTTCGATTTCCTGGGAGAAAAATAAATCTTTAGTAATCACAAAAATGAAAGGCAACCTAAATATATCATGCTTATGTGAAAATGTCATCCACCTGTTGATGGACCCGTTTCAGGAATTCAATTTCAACTTCCAGCTGCTCCAGTTTCTTCTCCAAGACGATGCGTGAGGAGGTGGCTTTGTCAACATCCTGAAGAACACACCTTTGTTATCATGTGGGTTTGGGACTGTAAATTAATATTGGCTAATATTATAATAATTAAATGTAACCTACTGGACGGAAGGTTTCAATGTCTAGCTCAGCTTTCCTCCTCAGCTCAACTGCCTCCTCATATTTGATTTTGATTGCCTGCAGTTGAGCAGCTGTGGACTCCTTAGCTGCCAAGGAGATGTCCTGAAAACCAAGAAGCCAGAAGTAATATGGTCGTCTATTAGATTAGGAGATGTGTGCAAAAAAGCCTTTTTTGCATTTTTAACTTAGTTCCTGTATGTGTGTGTGTGTGTGTGTGTGTGTGTGTGTGTGTGTGTGTGTGTGTGTGTGTGTGTGTGTGTGTGCAAATGCATGATGAAGCCATCTCATCTGTGCATAAAACATAGCTGAAGACAGCTGTACTCTGTGACACCTTAACACGCTTAGGCACCTCTCCATTTGCCTGCCAGAAATAAGCCTGTTACCAGGTAAGGAACCTTGAAAACACCAAGTTGACGTCTTGTATCGTTGCTTGGATGGATCCTCTACAGTTCAGTGAGGTGTAAACCTCGCCGGAAACATAGAATTCAGTCTTTACGCTCTCTTGAGCACCTGAAATGTAAAAAAAGAAACAGGCAGTGTGTGGCTTGGAGGATTCTGTCTCACCCGTTGAACTCTCATCTGGTCGGCAATCTTTTTCAGCTCCTTCAGCTGTTCCTCATACAGGAGGCGCAGACCTGTTGGCTTCTCAAAGCGGTTCTGGTAGGCCTCGATCTCTGCTTCCAGTAGCTTATTCTGCTGCTCAAGTGATCGAACCTATAAGCACAAGAAAACCTCCTCTGTGATATAGAGTGTGCCTGCACCAAGTATGTTTCCTGTCCATGTGCTCACAGAGGTGAGCGTAATATGCTCCCATTTTTCAAAGAGAGGCATTTTTAGCCAGGCCTGACAAATCACAGACACAGACACGCAAATGGAAGAAGTAAAATGTGGTTAGCTTGAAGGCTGTTTTACCTTGTCAATGTATACAGCCAGTCTGTCATTGAGGACGATCATCTCCTGTCTTTCACTTGTGCGGGTGCTGAGGAATTCTTGGTTCTCAGCTGCAGCCACATCCAGATCCATAGCAGGTTCTCCACTTGGCCCGACACATACCATGGCTCCTGCACTCACTCTGAACATTCACCCGTGAGGCAGTTCAAAGAAAGGGAAGATGGCATATCATGAGAAAATGTGAATGTTTCATGTGATAAAAAGTACTTGAAATTCCTTGAAAGAGAGCTTGAGGAAGAGGTACTTAGGTTCATGAGGTAAAAACAAGCTACAACAACATTACCTGAGGAAATAATAATCTAATTGTACACCCTTCTTACTCATAAACCCTAAATCTGTCCATATGTACTGTAGGTGACAGGCCTTACCCTGCTCCAACCATGCGAGTCTTGCGTGCAGCTGAGGCGGTCCTTCGTCCCATTGACTCCACACGCATGATGCCTGCCCCGGCTCTGCAGGGGTAGCCAGCAGAAGCATGACGGATGTCTCTCCTGGTGGGGGATGGGCTTGACACCCTGACCTGGTAGGACGAGCTGCTGCTGTCCTCAAAGTGACGGCGGTAGGACGAGATCCTCTCCGGGCTGCGACTCATGGTGGCGGCAGCGAACGTGTTTCCTCTGGTTCTCTGAAGGAAGATGAAAGAAACTGTCAAGCAGGGTCTGTCTGTGGTTTAAACCTCACGGCTGTTCCACCTCGTTTGCACTCAACCCAGTCTCAGGTTTTATACTTCCCAGTGCCAGTCCATGCCCCTGCTCTGTCTAAGACAGCCCAGTTCATGAACCAACACTTGTGGAATCTCGAACCTTTGCATCAATTCAGGCTTGACCTGCTGCTCAGATATCTGTCAGCAGCTTGTGAGGAGCAAAGCTGGCCTGGGATGGTGGCTGACGGCATTAGTGGAAGGTTCACCCATTAGTCTCTCTACAAAATACAGTGTGTGATCATGTCTCCATTTTTATCAGAAGCATAATGGGTTTTGCCAGGATTATGGTACATCCACCACCTCATTGTCTACTACAGCACTGGGCAGCAGACAGACAAGCAGGCAGGGTCCGGTCAGTTAGGGCAGCCAGTAGGTGCGGCACTGATGTGATCTGCTCTGATGGGACGAGGGAGTTTAATTGAATGCCAGGAAGCTGGAGGGTGAGCTGATGAGGCTGCAGAGGAACAAAGAGCCCTGGCAAGATTTGACATAAATTAGTACTTATTAGTCTGGTCTGTTTTCAACATATTAAAATCCAATGTGCAGAAAAAAGAAATCGGAATTAAGTGCTTCTGAGGGAAAATGAGGAGGCAGAAGAAAGGGGGTGGGGGGGTGTAGTCTGGAGTTTACGGTTGACATGGCACAGTGATATGAGGGAAGAAAACAGTGGTCAGGTCTTTTCAGAACCATTCTCTATTGACACCTACAGGGTCACTTGGTCAGGGGTCAGTAAATGCAGCACTGGCCTTACAATTTACAGTAAACATTAGCTGCCAGCAACATTATGCCTCATAGAAAACACTCACACACAGAGAAAACCATAGAATAACCAAAACAGAGATTACAACCTGTCCAAAAGCCATCTAAAAAGCCAACTTGTAGAATGCTTTTCTCTTTAATATTCTTGTCTATCTTGAAGGATTAAGCAATCACCTATTCTTTTGCACTGACCTCAGATCTTGCAGCAGTGTGGGACATTTGGGGAGAGGTGGAATCCGTTATGTGAACAATCTATCTCCACTAACCAGCTCTTTTCATGTTGCAACCAAATAACTCATCATTGTGGTATTTTCTATTACAGTATTTATGAAGCCACACTTCAAATGCCAGCACGATCCCACCTCCCACATTTAATTGTTGGCTAAGGTGAACTGGAGATACAGAAGGCAGGGACATGCTTCCTTCCACAGTAATTTATTGCCTATTATGTTTTCTAAATTTAACAGGCCAAATGATTGAGTGTAGTTAGATGTAGTAGACTCAGGGACCTTCTTTAACAGTTAAATACAAATATGAAGAATCATTTGGGGTTCCCTTTGCCTGGCTGGAGAATACTGCTTCATATAAGCAGAAATAGTATCAACACTTCTGGGCCAGATTATTTACTCATGAATCTGCAAAGTGACTCGGAGGTCAGTTTCCAGAGATTCAGTATCAACATGCTGCTTCAAAATTTTGTGAGGTGCTTGGATTATTCATAAATCATGACTGAACTGATCACAAGAATATAATTTGTGTGTAGCTGTATTGGACTTTCAGCTTAAACTGTAAAAGGGGGGGTTGATAGGGAACAAGGTCCATGGCCGTGGTCGACATGCCGAAGTAGAGGCATTTGTCTCAGTTGAAAACAAACACATTCATTATCGTGGATGATGAGGGAACCTGTTAATGTTCCCTGGAGGGTGGGTGGCAAATTCATACTGGCACACTTTGGACATTAGACTGAGCACTTCAATGCAGTAGATCATCTTTTAGTCCCAGCAGCTGTCACCTCATGCAGCATGCCAATCTGTGCCCATTTATCACAAATTATGCAAATAAATGTCTTCTCATGCTTTTTAATAGACCAGTTGAATATTATGCATAACTTGTAAAATGTAAAAAAAAAGAACAAAACACAAACTAAATACAAATGTTAATCAAACCTATAATTTTATTTATTGAGTGATGTTGGCAACAACTGCACTGACAGTTCCCTCTATGAGCAACAAGCTCTTTAATATTTACAATAAATCATCATGAAATGTTGAACTGTTCATATTATACAATGAAAGACAATCATACACATTAAAGTAGTCATTTGCATAGATAGCCTGAAGACTTTAGCACTTCATTATCTGTTATTATTTCTAGTAATATAACAGTCACTGGTTATATATTTGTGTGTTTGGAAGTTGTAAAGGGTTTAGAAATAGTTCTTAAACCATTTTACAAGTAATATTGCATTAGTTTTTTTAGCAGCAGACATGTGATTGCTCATGTGCGCTGAGTCCTCTGGTTTCAGTCTTTGGGATTCACAGGTGAGGATCACTGGCTCTAAAAACAACAGAAAAGTGAATGAACTTTTTAAAAACCCTTTGCAAGATTGTTTGTAATGCATTCTCACTTTCCAGTCTCATCTTGAGTAATTTCTTTAAAAGCGCTTTAAATAATAATGATATAGTTTTTTTCTGTTCCATTATCCCTGGATCACTTATGTTGTTCATTTTTCACCCAGTCTTGCCATCCACCCGGGTAATGCTGAACACTGAAATGGAGGGAAAGAGAAAGAAAGTGAATGAATGTTGAAACAGAGATATGTCTAAAATAAAACTGCATTTGTGTTTTCTTTTCTGGTATAAACCAACACACAGTAATACGCTGCATTCAATAATTTCATTGTTCGCCTCTTAAGCTAAGTAGCCTTTTCTCTTCTTTTCATTCAGATACTGGTGATGTGGCAGCTCTCAACAGAGCAATGCATGATAGGTTGGCATTATGCAACAAGAGGTCAATAACCTCAAGTTGGAGAAACGTAATACTGTCTCGTGGTGAAATAAAATAAAATAAAACAGTTAGATATAACATTCAGTTAACCAAATTCAGCCATAAAAATGTACTGCTACTCTAGCCTTTGTCCAGCCTAGCCTAACAATAAACAACAATAAATCTTATTCAACATTTGCCATACATGGCTATAATAGTTTAGTAACTTGCAGACTTAACAATGAGCTGAAAATCAATTTGATTGACAGATAGATGCAAAGAACACATGTCTCACTGTTTGTAACCCAGCGAGGCGGCTGTGTTGAGTGCGTTCTTGCTCCTGACCCCTGCCAGACAGGTGAACACGATGTTATCTGTCTGCTGGGGCATTTCATCACCATACTTTTCTTTGAACTCTTCAGAACTCAGCTGGAGGGCGGTGTTCACCTGTCCCACTGCAAAGTCAAAGAAGTGCACACAGGTCAAATATTACCAGTGGTACTTTAAATATGTGTTTATCTCGAACAAAACAGAACTAGAAGTAGTGTCAAAGCATTGTACATAGAGACACTTATCAGGATTATCTAAAGAATGCTGGGAGGCATGTCCTCCCTCCTGCAGTTACCATCCATGCTGAATTCAAGGTCTCTTTAATTTGACTGAAAATGTAATATCGAGGCAATTTTGCAGAACTTTGCACTAATATAGGCCTGCAATGGTAATCTGAGGCAGAGCTAAACAAGCCGCTATAGTAAACCCCTGAGGGTTACTTGATGTACACATGCTTTGTGTGACAGACTTTATGTGTTCACAGCCTGCAGACAACACAAACGATTGTGTATTGGTTTAATAAGTGGGTCTGTCGTTACATCTGTGATTTTCAGTGTATTTTAAGTAGAACAGCACTCACGGGGAACGTTAATTGAACCGGGGATGAAGCCGTACTCCCTGAGCTCCCAGGGCTCTCTGACATCTACAACTACAGACTTCCGGCCAGCTAGCAGTTGTTTCAGCTGGTCATAACTCACATCAGTGCTCGGTGGCCCTGAACTGAACCTGCGGAGCAGCAACTCTGTAGCTGAAAGCAAAACCAACAGCATGTGATATATACCAACAGTTTCACAACACAACAGTGACACACGAGTTTACAATCACACGGGCAGTGGCAAAGACAACACATTAACACAACTCTAAATGTAAAACTCACTTTTGCAACCGGGGTGATTTTTGCCAAGACTGGACACAGACATTCGTCCTCCCGGGACGGAAGCCCCAGGCTGGACGGTGCTGGTCCATAACAGCCGCGGGACAACACCTGGAAGCCTCCAACACCTCCTGAGAGCCATATGTGATAGTTACACCCTATGTTAACACACTGTCAACATAAACCCTTAATTACGCAGTAATACTGCGTTAGACGACCATTAAACCCACACTCCTCACGTTCACCGTGCCAACAATGACCTGCGCGTGCGCAGAAGTACGGAACACCTAAAGGACAAAAGTACTCTCTCCTTTGACTTCTTGTCGAACTCAAAGGCAGTCATTAGCCTAATATTTCAAAGGTCAGACCACACAAGAAGACATATACGCAGTATTTTGCCAAAGCAGCTCCCATATTTACGACGTAATTACTGAATGCATAAGTATGATGCATTCATTATCGTAGGAAAAGCAGTGACAACACACGTCTGTCGACGGCTGACCATTCATTTCATAATATATCCCTTCCTCCTGGTTCTCTCAGAGGCACTGGGCTACGACTTCGGCTTTCTCAGCTGTTTGTTGTCAAAACAAACTCAAACTTCGCCATCCCATTTGAATTATTGCCAAACCTTGTGACAGTGGATTGCATTTTATGAAGTGAAATGTGTGTGTTGATATGAGAGACATAAGGCAAATCGCACATACTGCTAACTTTGCAATCATAGTAGAACACCTGCTCTTTTTAGAGTTTGATATCTTGTCAAACATCGCCGATTTTTGGTCTCTGTAAATTAATTATATAAACGTATCACTCTGTTTTTCCACGTGTATTATAAAACATTGAAAAGGCCATTGAACCCCTTAAACTTACTAAACGTCAAATTTCCCATTGTACGTGAATGCAACATTGGGCCAAACCGAGCTGCCGTAGTGCGTCACATGTTAACCAGGGTTGATGCTACCGAAAGCTTGACAACATTTTGAAAGTCGAAGGAAAAAACGAAGAATTACTGAGATAACTGTTCTGTCGTTGTTGGCACTCTGTGCTTTGCTTTGAAATGTCGTAACATCTCCGTGTATTGTTGATAAAACACACCAGGTAATGGTTTGTTTATTCTGACAAGCTAATGAAGCTAGCCTGTTTGCTAGCCAGGAAGAGTTGACATCTCACTGTTGGCTTCAGGTTAGCTAACATTGTCAACATAGGAGCTAAAATAAAGAGGTGAGTTCACGCCGCTTTTTCGCCAAATCTAATTGTCGAAAAGTGATTCAGTCATTGTTCACAATTTCTTTGATAAACAACATAAAGGCCTCTCATGCTCACCTACATTGGATCAACGGGGCTAATTGAGACATCCTAACCGTGTCATTACTAGGTAGTTATCCTTAAATTAACTAATAATCTGCTTGGCTATAGTTATTGTCAGTGACATACTCTGCAGTCCGTACGTATTTTGGCTTAGTTCTCCTGTATAATGGTGTAGACATTATAATCCGACAGGACACAAGTGACTTAAGATACCTTTGGCTGGTCTCATGTACATTGGGTAAACAGTGTAGAAATAGTTTCAAACATGACCCCCCCCCAGTTTAAGGCAATGCAGCATGGTCATCATCTTAAACCTACATGCTCACATGGAATTATTAGAGCAAACTAAGTCTTTTATTAATTCTCCTCAGTCCACCTGAGTAGCTGTTTCACCTACTAAAGACTAGACTGAAGGTGTAAAGCCCCAGGCCTGCATCACCAGGGAAGGTACTGAGTGTCTGCTGATGTAGGATATAGACCCCAGACAGTCAGTGGTTGCATAGGCATTGCAAGTGCAGTAGATTTAGATTAATTTGTCCCACTAATTTTGATTTCTTAAAAGTGAGGACTACGGATAAAAAGAGCTACAATTCATACACAGTTCTCTGAAATGGCAGATTGTAATCTCATAGTCATTGGTTCAATGTAAAGCCACTGTGCTGGAGTACAAAGGCCACACAACGATAAATGTGTTACTGTACAAATACTTCCGGACTGCACTGTGGCTATTTTTTCACAGTATTGTGTGCTACAATGAGTAAAATGACTGCTACCTTCAAGTGTCTTTGTTAAAACAGTTATGTTGAGGTTTCATTTTGTGTAGTAGCAACTATGTTGGTCCTCCTCCTTCCAATCTAGTGCTCCAGATGCGGCTAAAGGACCCCTTCTCTTTGAAAGCCGCCGATATGACTAAGCGGACTAATAAACCGAGGAAACCTCGAGATGAGGAGTCATCAGATGAAGTCAGTGGTAAGTCACTGAAGTAGCACAGCGCACCAGACAGACAGAAGTTAGTGCTGTGAGGTTTGATTTGGTAGAGTCCTAGCACAGTCGATAATGAGTGGGATTAATGCTTCAGTTATGCTCAAAAAGCACACATCATAGTGCTTTTTAAAAATGAATGTATGATTTACTAAGCACATTCATCCACACCACACTGGTTTCAACTGAACAAGGTTCATTTAGTACTTTTTTTGTTGTAGAACTATGAGGTTTTGTAAAGTTATCCTACCAGGACAATAAGTTGTATGTTAATGAAGCCCCACGACACTATGGAACATAGTATATATGCCACTTTTTAGTGGGGACGTTCCTTCTTGTATAATTTACACCAGGTGCAGTGCATATTGTCTCCCTTCAAAAAATAATTGAATCCCAAAATGGTCCCTTAAAGTTATTGGAAGGTAAATTTATCGTGACAGTCTATATATATATTTTTCTACCCAGGGTTGACTTGCCAGCATGTGAGTAAGGCAGTAGACCTGAGCTCAGTGAAGAAATCTGTGCTGTCCAGCGTGTGGTTGGTGTGCTCTGAGTGCCTAAAGGAGAGGACCATGATTGATGGAGAGCCAGCAGCATCCCATGACATCCTCGTGTGCTTAAAGTGTGGTTTCCAGGTAATAATAGTTTTTTCAGTTTTAAAAAGTGCAAACACAAATACATAGCACACACTGGGGCTGAGCAATGTACTAGATTTTAACAATATATTGATACATTATCATTAATAACATAGTTTTACACTATTGTCAATATCATAGTAATTTTAATTCTTTTATGTGTATTTAATTGCTCAAGTGTTTACCTGTATGCATCAGTGAGAGGAAGCATGTACACTTCAGCAATGGGTCAGCCACCAACACATTTTAGTGCCAATTTGACTGGCTCTTACATTACAGTAAAATGTTGACTTGTGCGTTTTCTATGTTGAAATGACACATAAATGACATAAATCTTTATATAAAGTTTTTTTCCAAACTATCCATTTGATGCAATGTGTTGTTGTGACTGTTGTGTGCTGTGTTATTTAACTTTATTTAGTCTAATTATTATTAAAGTATTTGATAATGCACTGAAGGTGTGTTTGCATTAGTCTGGTAAGATGCAATGGCATTTATTCCAGACTAGGATGTGTTGTATTTCATATCAACAAAAACAAAAATTGGGGTTAAAAATTAGCTACTTCAGCTCTGGTATAGCCGCCTCTCTCTGTTGGTCATCACCACTCTGATTGGTAACACTTCACATGAAACATCCTATCGACACTGAAGGCTACTGTGCCACAGACAGGCAAAGAGACTGGAGCTGCCTGGTGAGCGACTGGAGCTGTGTGTCGAAAGGGAAGGCAGCATATTGCTGAAGTTGCAATAAACATCACAAAATTTGAATGATTACTATGACAAGCGTGCCCAGCTTTCCCAGTTACGCCACTGAAAATGTCTGAAATAGCAGCCAACAGGATTTCACTCCATGGAGGCAAAAGCGATTTAAAATAACCCAATCATTGCACTAGAGAGTAAAACACAGTCTGTATCTGTCTATCTTTTCAATGCAACTCTGGTACTTCAGAAAGTAACAGCAGCAGTAAAACTGTATTTTGCACTATGAAGGGTAAATTTTGGAGTAAATCTGCAGTTCACATGCATTTATATACTGCTTTTATCCAAAGCTCTTTACAAGGTTTTTATAATTTGTTCACTCATTCACACACACTCTCACACACCGATAGCAACCAAGTGTTGGTCTCACCATTAGAGCAATTTGGTGTTCAGTGTCTTGCCCAAGGACACTTCAACATGTGGACAGGAGAATTTACCACATCAAAATTTGTCTTTATTAAGGTGGAAATGAGTCACAGTCTTTAAACATGGGCATATGCTCTGTGGGCCTGAATGTATTTTGTGCTTGTTAACAAAGATCTTTAACTAGAATATTTTATCTTACAGGGCTGTAACCAGACAGGGATCCAGCACGCTGTCAAGCACCACCAAGCGTTACATCCAGAGTCTCACTGCATCACTATCAGCTTGAGCACGTGGAAGGCCTGGTGAGAAACCTCAGAACTGCTTAAATTGTAAACTGTGATGCAAATGTGTGTCAATTTGAGGTGACACACATCAAGTACTGTAGGTACAGTGTGTGGGCTTACATAGAAAACAACAGATGCAGGTTTTTCATGCACCGTAGTTGAGTGTTGTGAAAAGGTCTTCCTGATCTTGAACCTACATGCTATTTTACATCAGTTTAGTTGTATAATTAATGTCTTTACCAGGAACCTGGTATCAAATTATTTTTCACTCCATTATTATATTTGATTGTGTTTATAAAGGGTTTCCACTTCAGCCAAGTAATGCTGGTCTCAAATAATGATTTATTTTAGCATTAGTTACTTAAGGGGTTTTAAATGTCTCTGTAACTTAAAGCCTTTCTGTGTTTTTCTCTGGCCCCTTCTCATTGAAACAGGTGTTTTGAATGTAATGAGGAGCTCTCCACTCACTGCAACAAGAAGGCTTTGGCTCAGACCCTGGACTTCTTACAAAAGCACTCTGTCAAGGCAACATCAGGTAAGGTGTTAGGCCTCACAGAGCTCAGGCCCCCTACTAATGTTGAAAAAAGCTTTTATTAGACACACAAATACTCACACACAATTTCAGCAAGGGTGAAGTGATTCCTTTAATTTGGCAACTTCGGCTTCGGCCCTGAACACAAAAAAATTGGAATTATAATCAGATATGAATGATACATAATTCTGAGTAATAATCTGCACTGGTGAACCTCAAACAAGCAGTATGGACCAAATGTTGACTGTATACCTGACTTTTACGGGCTGTCATGTTACTAGTACTGTTGAACAAAGTACCTGTAATACAGATTAACGGATTTACCTGGTCATGTAGGTTCGAATTAGTGTATGTCAGTAAACCACCTACTTGGCAGGAATTGACTGCAGTACACCTGCTCCCCCTGGTGGCAGTAATGATCTGAATCCCTGGATTTAACCTGTGTGCTCAGTGTACAGACAGCCTATGTGTGTGATGGGTGAGACCACCATGGATGCAACTACTGCTTCTTTGATTTACTAAGCTTCACAGGGCTTACAGAGATTTTTTTTTCTAATGCTGTCATAAAATTAGAATGCTACATCTTTGACACTGAAGAGCAGTGAAAATGTCACTAACAAGTAAAAAAAACCCACATAATATATACAGAATATTGCATATTACTTACCATAAAATCAGATGAAGATTTTGAGTTGTGATGCAGCAGGTTGTGTTCATGTTCATACTTGACAGCCTGACTGCATACTTTCAGTTGTATGTCCTCTCACCTCACTCAGGCCACCTGAGCCCTCCTCGCCCAGTCAATCAACCATATTAACCCCCACCCACCCCCTTTCCGTACTTACACACTCATGCACCTTCTGTTCTGACCTCTCCTAGTGCTGAGAGGCCTCTTAACCGGCTGTAGCTCATCAGGGTGGTGGGCATCGCCACTTTCGGTCTCACTGGCTGCCTCAGCTAGGCCCAGTTGCCAGTGGCCAGAGGCCAGACGCCCTGGCCCAGTCAGGCTGGTCCACCATCAGTCTCTCTGCCACAGCTTCAGAGTTGCGGGATTGATGCTGTAGCAATCCCCCACCCTCACCCTTACCCTGCACATTGCATGACTGCACACATTAGAGGAATTAGGCGCTTGATGCTTCCCCGGCTGGGTTCCCTGAAGAACAAGAGCAGCTGCGTGGGGTTAAGCCACTGCTCTGTCGCTCTTTGTCTTTCCATCGCTATCTGTTTCTGTCCCTTGCTTTCCCTTGTCGAGCGGCTGTATGTCTCACCACCTCTGGGCCTGTGTGCTGCACTAGTGGGAGCCAGGGTCCTCAACAAGTCAGAGCGACTGGATTCTAACAGCTGGAGTGCACTAACTCTCAGTGGACACACACTCGCAGATACACATAAACAGAATGTAGAAAATAATGATCAAGTCAAGCAAATACCCTATTTTCTTTCGATCAGTATTATACGTTTTCTGGCCATTAAAAACAGTTTTATGTTTCAGTAATAAACTTTTCTCATGGTACAATCCATGGTATCATTTGCAACAGAGAGCACAAGCTCTTCCTGGAACATAATCTGAATAAGCTTTAATTACATACAAGTACATTATATACCCAAGGAATTTGCAGATTCTGTGAGTGAAATGTGCTTTAAGAGGGCCTATATAGTTTGGGTTACTCAGCTATACTCAGGCACAGAAACTGTGCAAATGTAGACATTTCCAGTTTCTGTCTCCATCAGACTGCTCCTAACTGTATTTTATATGTCTGCATATTTGTAGAGCTGTCCTTTAGTGGACATTGGTGGGAAACGGTTGCTGAGCTGGACAGTCTCTACCTACCCTTTTGCATCTTTAAATTACCTGTCACCTTTCCTGCCACCCAATTGTCCCACACCGGTCGGCCAAATGGGTATAGAGGCGGGCAGCCATTGTTGCAGCAAAATAGGCGGTTGTTGTCTGTTGAGGAGCTTGTGAAATTGCATTTCAGTATGAAGGCCATGTTTTCAGAAGAAGCTGCTGTTGTACTGTTTTTCCTATAGACCCCACCACAAAAGATCCCCAGCAAGGTTTTTTTTTTTCCCAGAATCTATATTAATTTTGCACAACAACAGCTCAGGGTAGAAAGAAAGTCGATTAACTGTGCTCTATCACCATCAAGGCCTTCAGCTCAAGTACCAGAGTCCCACTAAAAAGCGGATTGACCTCAGGGAGCTAGACTCCAGTTTGTAACAGCTGGGGAGTCTTTGTGGAGCAAATTAAAATATTGGTTCTGAATAGGCATCTGAGCTTGGTTCTTATTGGAATCTGTCAATTCTTTCTTGTTTTATGGTTGGTGATTGTTATCAATTGTTATATCACCATATCATTATATTTCTCTAGTGTGCGCTTTCGTTTTTAATTTAGCAACTTAAAGAATGAGTTATCAAATTATTAACTTGTTGCTATACAGGTCTGTTTTAAAATATTACACTCTGTGTCTTTAGTACATTCAGACATAGATTATAGAAACATTATGATAATTATAATTTCACAGATTTCTGACATTGTATTGGTTGGGCTAAACATTTTAAAACAGAGGCTGTACCGACAAAACAAAGGGTCTTACCCCGAAGTCCTGTAACATGATATTTTTAATCTTCTGCTCACAAGTTAGTAACTTATATCAGTGACCTTGTTTCATGTCTTGTCTTTAGATAGTACTGTAAAATCACTGTATTTTTATACTATTACTACAATCATCCAATCATATATAAATTAGTAATTTAGACAGAAAAATTAAGATTGTGGGATGACCATAGTATAAGTTAGGGGTGCTGATAATTATCGGCCCGATAACAGGAAATTATTACGTCATTCCGATAGCCCCGATAACATATCTAATTTTGTCAGCACGGCAGTGCCCCGCTCCCACTATGACACCTGAATGGCCTGCAGTGAATGCTGCGTTCAAGTGACGTTGGCATTATCAGAAAAACTCTTTCTGACTGGGAAAATTCAAGCATACCACCTCATGTCGGAAAAGAACTCGTTAACTCGGTCATTATTTTGGTAGTTGCTGACTTGAATTGATATCCACAGTATTTTTCCACATGTTACACATAAACAATAGAAACATGAACTTAAAAAGGCCGAAAGAACGACTAGCAAACGTGGGAACAGGGAATTTCCGTCAAACCGTGAATGCAGCACAGCGTGCTTACGTTTGAAAACAGACAAACATGGCGTCGATTGTGTGGACTTTTTCAAAGTTTCTGAAGAAGACAGGTCGCTTGTTATTTGTAACAAATGTTCCAAGCAAGTTCCACGAGGAGGTAAAAGTAGCACAAGCTTCACTACGTCAATCCTGATAAGTCACCTGAAACATAGCCATCGCTTCGACGGAGTCTCTCTCTCTAGATAAAACAACTGAACCTCATTTACTTTAGTGAAAAGGTATTCATTTGAATGGAACCATAAGCCAAAATCATTTAAACTTAATTTGTTGTTACTATGGAATTCACTTTTTCAGTTTGTTTACACAGACAAGTCTCATCTACATTTTATTTATTGTTATTGAGGAATGCACTTTTTCAGATTGTGTTTACATAGAAATGTTTGAATCTAACTTGTGTCAGTGCATCAATTTTCTATATATATTTATTTTTTTTAACTTCTGGAATGCACTTTTTCAGTTTGTAATCCCGCTGCATGTATTTGCATCAGTTCAAGGGGCCTTTATTTTTTTTTTGAGAGGCTTGCCAATAGTTTTTCATTGGAAAAAATAAATATCTCCATTTAAAGAGTCAAAAGTGTTTTTGGGTTTGTTCATTGTATTAATGTCATGATCTTAGGTCATGATCACATATATGTATATGTGTGTGTGTTATTGGTTATAGGTATTGGCCTTTAGAAGCTGAAAGTTATTGGTTATGGGAATTGGTTTTTAAAAAAAGTTATCGTGCATCCCTAGTATTTGTGTAACAATAAGTTGATTTTACAGTATTTGATTGACGTAAGAGTAACATTACAGTTGATTTGATTGAAAAATCATTGTGTAAAAATATAAAGAATCTATTAGGAATAATATATACTATGACCAGCATTTGTTTATATTTTTATTTGTTTATATTTTATACTTTCATTATCTAAAGAGAAGACAAGAATTAAGGAGAGAGATTTAACCATATCATCTCAATGGACGTTAGGGCTCCATAGGGTTTTCCCCATATTTCAAATATATTTGAGGGATATAGATAATAAAACAATAAAGCTGCATTTGTTAGTTTGTTAGAGCTTATTAAAAATATTAAATATATGGCTTTACAAGGGGATTATTGTTTAAAGATTCATTACATTTTTTTATGTTATGATTATAGCTCTACATTCCAGATACAGATCCACATACAAGCAAGAATTTTGTCTCCAATCTAGTCCTGGTTATATGGCGTTGCAAAGAACCGTTAGAAATACCCAACACTTGAAATCATCAAAGTCCGTTGTCACAGCATTGAGCACATCTGTTGTGGAATTGTTCTTTTCTTCAGAAGTTGCCTCATTCCCAAAGCACAAACACAATGACATATCTTCATAGACAGTGACAACAATGAAGTGCACAGTCAAAGTTGCAAAGATTTGGGAAGGGTGCATTATTCCTAAATTCCATCTGTGTCTTTCACTCTCTCAAACACACATACGCATACACGCATACACACGCACATGCACATGCACATACTGTACACACGCACATGCACATGCACATACTGTACATCCATACCTAACTGCATACCTCCATTCTCAACTTCACACACAACTACTAGAGTCACAGCAACACATGAAAGTTGCATTACCTGGCTGGTGTTGTTGGGGGAAAAAAATTAATTGCGGATTTGTCTTTTCAGCTGAACTTATAAAATGGAAAAGGTGTCTGTCTGCAGTAAAGCTTATTAAAATAAATAAACAAGGTGTTTTTTATTTTTAAATGACTGTGAAAGTTTCAGTTTTTAAACCAAACATGAAATTAGTATTTTTTGAAGCC